CCAGCTGAACACCCCAAGTGCCCTCAGTGTCCTCCCCCGGCTCCAAACCCAGGCCCTTCCCCTGCCCACCTGAGAACTGGATGGCAAAGCCCTGCTTGCTGGTGAAGAAGTCGGTGTTGAACTGCAGGATGAGGGAGTTGAAGGTGCTGTGCACGTCCCCAGGGAGCCCCGACCCGCTGAGCTCCCTCAGCAGGATCCCCTTCTCCACCGGCCCGTCCCAGATCCGCAGCACGTCGTGGAACTCCTCGGTGTGGAAAACCATGAAGTGGAGCCTGGAGGGGGCAAACCCAACTGCAAGTCAGACCACAGACAGCTCTGGAAGGATCAGGAATGTGCTGGGTACCAACCTGAGCTGGTTTGGCCCACAGGGAATGTGTTCCCTCACCTACAGCTCAGCCTGGAATAACTGCGTCGGTCCTTCACCCAACCCCAGTTCCTCCCTGATAAATCACATCCATGGACCAAAACCAGCCCAGGCAGGAACAGTAATGTCTTCTGAGAAACCAGGTTCTGAGAAACCTTCCTTCTGAGAATCCTGAGCAGCCCTGGAAGTGGGTCCTCTCCTGAGCAAACAGAATCACTGATCTCTCCTAAAAGTGTTTTCAGGAACGAGGTAAAGGTCCAAAAGCCCGTTGTGGGCAGTGAAAATGTCCCTGGCCAGAACAGACTGTTGGTTTTACAACCAAAGGGGCTCAGCCATTGCAATGAGCAGCTGCCACACATGAAAGGCTGAGGGAGCCACCAGCTAAAGGCTGGAATCACGGAATCATGGAATGTTCTGAGCTGCAAGGGACCCACGAGGATCATCCAAGTCCAAATCCTGGCCCTGCACAGACACCCCAACAATCCCACCCTGTCACTGGGAGCCTTGTCCAAACACTCCTTGATTTCTGGCAGGTTTGGGGCCACGATCACCTCCCTGGGGAGGCAGGTGATGGATCAGGGATGAGTCCCTTCCACTCCTGCACTTCAAATGCCAAGTGAAGAGGAGGCATTGAATTGCCCCTGTTTGTGATTGCCCCGTCAGCACTGGGGGAAAGACTCTCTGACACAACAAAACCAGGCAACTTGAGCCACCCCAGCGTGAAATGGGGACAGAAACCTATAAAGGGAAAAAATCTACACAAAATAAAACCAGCAGGTACTGTGCTTAAACCCCTGACAGTCCACGGAGGGAAACGAGGAAGAATTCACTTGGCTGCTTTCCCATTTATCCGGGGCAAACATAAATAAATCAGGGAGAACCATAAAAAGGGGAGGGGGGGTAAAAAGCCCCCACTGCAACAAAATGATGCCCACAGAAAGCTGGGAGAAACCTGAAGAGCTGACTCATAAATCCACCCAGCAGAGACCTTGAGCAAAGAGAAAGGCAAAGGCAGACTGGAGAGAAAATCAGGATGGATGGTGCAGAGCTGTTCTCCACGGCTGCCTCGGCCTGGTGACGTTTGTGCTCAGGCAGAGGGGGCCCAAGGAGCCAGAACTGCTGGAAAAACCCAGGGCTGGAGTCACTGGAGCCAGAGAGATGCTGCCAGGGGGTGACCTGGGCTGGGGGGACAGCCTGGAGCCTGTGGGGCCAGGGCTGCCTGAGGAATCTCACCCTCCTCGTTCAGTTTGGAAGAACCAACTTTAGGCAAAGCTCTGTTGGGTGGAGAGCACAGCACCATGTCCAGGTGAGCCAGGGACAGGTTACTCAGCGCCAGTTGGTCCAGGAGACTGTTGGAATATCAGATTTTATGGAGAAAACTGGTGTTCTCTGGAGCAAATCCATCTATTCAACAGCCACTTCTGAGTCTTCTCTCAGCCTGACTCTGTTCCCAGCAGGGACAAGGCAGAGACACTGGCTTAGCAGGCAGTGCAGAGGAGGAGAGCTTTATCCCTGTGCTCTGACAATCCCAATTACATGCATGAAAATGCAGCAAAAAGCAAATCAGAAATTGGGAACATATATCCATATATATTTACGTGATGGAGGGAAAGCTCTGCCAGCTCAGCAAGGAACAGAGAGGAGAGCCCAGCTCTGCCCTGAATAACCCCTGGGGAGCCCTTTTAGCCCCAGTTCTTCCCAAAGCACCCCCCAACCCCACTGACCCACCTGGAGGGACTTTCTGCTGCCATTCCCCATCCCAGCAAAGGGCTGGGATCCCACCTGGAGCTCCTCAGGACCATCCTGGCATCCTCCTCCTCCCCTCCCCTCCTTCTCCCCCCCTCCCCAAAGTCTCCCAGACAAACCCAGTCCCTTCCCCTGTGATGTTTATGCACGAGGGTGTGTGCACAGGCACAAAATTAATCCCCTCTCCGAGTGCAACCCTTTAACTTTCATGGCAATAAAGTGCAGACTCATTTTTCTCTCTGTCTCGCCTCCCTCTCCCCTTCCCCTCGTGCTGTGTGCAGATACAGCTTTATTCAAAAAGCTCTGGTGATTAATTTTCATGTAAGTTATAAATGAGAGCTTTATACAATTGTACCATGCGTGAAGAGGATTATTTTTCCAATGGATTACCATAAAAATGAAGTTGCTGAAAATGTGCTCCCTCGACTCCCCAGAGATCATCTGTTCTGTCTGAGCTGGCAAATAAAAGGGGCAGGAGAAGGGAGCTCTCACCTCTAAGGAAAGGAAGGGTCACCAGGTGTGTTGCTGTGATACCACCCAGCATTTTTCACCTCAGCCTTGGCCCCTTCCAAGCCTTTGGCTGATCCAAAATCTCTCCTCTGCTCCCTGATTTTAGGGATGACATGAGCCAAGCCTGAGGCAGCCATTGGATGGGGGGAAAGGAGGGTCTCGTGTCTGCTTTGTCCTATAAAAATCTTCAGAATCTTTTTACAGGAGAATAAAAATAAAGGAGATTTCAACTGGAAGTTGCAATTCAGCTGCACTGGCTGCTCACCCCAGCAACCATCCATTACTGAGCCATTCCAAAGGGCAGAGCTAATGGAGGGGATTTCTGCATTAAATAAAAATGAAAATACTGGACCAAATCTATCTCCAGCAGAAACCCATCGACTAAAAGCACCACAGAGCTCAACCCGATTAACAGGCTCCACTGAAGGGAGGATGGGGGTGATGCAGCAAGGAAGACAAACTGGGAGATAAAATGGGATTGAGAATGAAGGAATGCAGGGTGGAACAGCCCCTGAAATGGGGCTGGCACAGGTCACAAGCACCAGGAACTGCAGTGGGAGGACAGTGGGAGAAGAGGATTATTTTAAACAGAACTTTGAAGCTCCATTTCTCTCCCCCTCAAGCCCCACCACTTGGTGAAAGCTTTACTTGCCCAAACATTGCAGTTTTCTGTCTCAAATGGCTTTAGCTGGGCTGGGAAACATCCGTGTGGGGAAGCAGCAGGACCAGAGATGAAGGATCACGGAGCAGGAACTGCCTGGGTTCTGCTGGGGACTGCACCAACCTCACCAGCCAAATGTTCTCAATCCCATCCTCACCCAGAATCACATAACTCATGAACAAATTCCATTTCCAACTCATTTCCAACAGGGAAGTGGCAACGGGGTGGTAAGAGAAGTCAGAGGAGCAGGAGGAGGGAACAGTCTCGGGTCTCTGCACTGAGCAGATGTTTAGAAACAACCTCAAGTCATCCTTCAGGAGGATAATGGCTTTGTGTGTGCTCTCTGTGTTATTAAAACAATCAACAATGCAGGGAGGAGATGAAGGCTGAGCCCTGGGGCCTCAGTTTTCCAGCTGCCCACCCACCCCTGGGCACCCTCACACCTGAACATTCCCTCTCCCAGACACAGCAGGGCAGAGCTCATCCCCTGCAGGGAGATGAAGCACACCCAGAATTACCTTCCCTGAACCTCTCCTGGGATGATTCCCTGCAACTTCCTGCACACATCCTCACTTCAGGATCGTGTCACTGCTGGGACATTCCACACCAACGTGGTGGGAAAGGTTTGACTCTCAGTACATCCCATGAGGAGAGGGGTGGGAAGCTCTCACTGTAGGTGCACACAGGAGCTCTGGGGTGTTGTTTGGACCTGGTAACACCACAGGCAGCAGCAGCACATGGAGCTGTGGCACCATCCAGGACACCACAGCTGGGAAAAGAAAGGAGCAGTGATGCCACTCAGGGCCTCTGAGCAACCTGGGCTGGTGGGAGGTGTCCCTGCCTGGAACTGGGAAAAGAAAGGAGCAGTGATGCCACTCTGGCCTCTGAGCAACCTGGGCTGGTGGGAGGTGTCCCTGTTTGGAACTGGATGATTTTTAAGGTCCCTTCCAACCCAAACCACCCCTGACTGTGCCCAGCCTGGCAGGGGCTGTGCCAGGGCTCGACCCTTCCCTCCGAGCCACGGGACGTTCTTTATGGAACTGTGGCTCTGGAAAAATCAGCTGGATGTGCCAAGAGAGCCAAGCCCCACTCACCCTATGGTGCAGCCAGGCTCTGCCTCGATGGTCCAGATGCAGTTGAGGTTGTGGTCGTAGGGGGTCGGGTAACCCGGGGACAGGATCCGCCCCGAGGCCTCTCCTCTGATGGTCCCTCCACACTCAGCTGGAACACACACAGGGGGCAGGGGGCAGATTCAGGTTCTCACTTGGCAACAACACAAATCTCCTCCTACAAATACAGCTGGGAGTATTTCCTGCCCTTCCCAGGGATTCTTAAAGCCCCCAGAGCAAAGATAAAGGGAATTTAATTCAGCGAAAAGGTTGAGTTGGCAGAATAATTCTGCATTTCTGGGCAGATCTGATGGGCTGTCAAAGCTTCCCTCCACCTTTCTGACTGTGGGGAGCATCCTGTTCCCCCAATCTACTCATGGGGGGCGAGACAGCTCAAATCTTCTGCCTGTATTCATCAGTGTGGGAAAACAAAGAAGCCCAACATGTGTCTGTGTGAATGAACTCCAAAAGAATGTGAGGATTTTGAGTAATTTCTGTAACATAGCCATTAAAATTCTTTAACTTTCAGTTCTTAAGGTTTTCTTAAGAAACTCAGGCACGGCCTCATACACAATAAATGCAGAGCAAACAGGGTGAAGGTTAAGAAGGCACACAAACCACAGAAATTTGTCTTTTTACCTCAATAGTCAGCAAAAAATTCAGCAGAGTGGTCCTGACTCAGGGGAGGACAGAGTGGCAGTGTCTGGCACATCACAACCACGAGGGCAGTTGTGGAGTTGGTTGAAGAGAGTGCAAGAACCTCCCCATGTCCTGGACACAGCTAATGATGGAGCTGTCAAGTCCCAGCCCAACAGCCCTTCATTTGGACACCCAATAATACCACAATTTTCCAAGCAAGAAGATCTCCAGGTAAAAGGGAACTCAGGGTTTGGCTTAGGAAGGATGAGGGGGGGGAATTAAAATGTCTGAGGGTGGGATCAGATGCCAAGCAGCTCTCAAACAGGCCTGACTGAGCTGGCAGATGCCTGGACACACGTTGATGCCTGGCATTATCAGAAGGTGCCACTCAAGTTTAACGTGTCCAAGTGAAAGGACAAGGAGTGGGAAAAAACAAAAACAAAACCAAAAAAGGAATGTTTCATGTTAAAACTGCTTGGAGTGCTCTCAGCCTTGTGTAAGAGGATCTTACACAAGATCCTCTAATGAATGCATTAATATCAGAGGTAATGACACATGTGTTAGCAAAGCAGGGACAAAGGGCCCTGGTGGGCATCGAGGTGATGCTCAGTTTGAAGAGCCAGAGGTGTCTCACCTACACAGGTTGGCAGGGGCTGGTCCCACGCTCTCCTCTCGCCAGTCAGGCAGCCCAGGACCCTGCTGCCCCTCAGGGTGTACCCGGGGTCACAGCTGAAGGACACGGAGCTGCCAGCAAAGTGCCCCTCGTCGTGCACCTTGTACCCGAACTGGGGCACTCCGGGGTCCTCGCACTTGATGAGCTCGAAACCTGCAGGGAGAGGAAGGGCAGCTGTTTGTCTGCATCAGGTATTTCCCAGCCAGGACATGTTAACACAGCCCCAAAGGCAGCATATTGAAAATCAGTGGGTTTTTTTAATTAATGTTTTGAGTGAGGTCCCAGAAATCTGGTGGCTCGGCTTTAAATCCGAATTTCTGTGTGGCCACAGCAGAAAAGGTTCAATCATCTCCCAGGGAACAAGGGACAGGAGGAGAGGGAAGGGTCTCCAGCTGTGCAAGGGTCAGGTTGGACAATCAGGAGGAATTTCCTCATGGAAAGGGTGGTCAGGCCTTGGAAGGGGCTGCCCAGGGAGGTTTGGAGTGCCCACCCCTGGAGGTGTCCAAGGAAGGACTGGTTGTGGCACTGAGTGCTCTGGGCTGGGGGACAGGGTGGGGATGGGGCACAGGGTGGATCCAGGGGCTGGGAGGGCTTTTCCAGCCTCAGTGATCCTGGGATTCTGTGATCTCCCACACTCCAATTCCTCTTAGGGTATAAGATCTTTACGGAAAGGGCTCTTTGCCCCGGTCATGCAACTGTGGCACAGAAACACCCCTTCACCCCCCCACACGAGCACATGGGCTTAAAACTCACTGGAAAACTGCAGCTCAAAGCCTTTGCTGGTGTTGGCAGAGTTGGTGATGAACTCCAGCCACATGGAGCTGGAGGTGCTGTTGATGCTGGTGCCCAGCATGTCCGAGCGGCTGAAGGTGCCCAGCAGCCGGGCAGAGCTGTTGGTGCCATCATAGACCTGGGAGGGACCAGAAACACGGACTGAGAACCTGGGTTTAATCACTGCTTCAGGGACCAAACCAGCACTGCCCAGAGAATGTGGCTGCCCCAGCCCTGGAAGTGTCCAAGGGCAGGTTGGAGCAGCCTAAGATGGTGGAAAGTGTCCCTGCCCAGGGCAGGGGGTGGAAAAAGTTGGTTTTAAGGTCCTTTCCAACCCAAACCAATCCATGATCCACAAGTGCAAACAGGGACAAAGCCTCTGAAGTGAAATAAAGAGTCTGTCCTGATGAGACTCCACGGTGCTGCTCAGCTGAGGATTTACACCCTGGAGGATCCACCTCCTCCTCCTCACACGGAGCTCACTCTGCTCTCAGGGCTCTGTCTCCTGAATTCATCCCTCTTTGCAAAGAATCAGCTCCTGAGAAAAAAACATTTTCTCCCCAGACTGACTCACAGATGAGCCTTGAACCTGCTATTTATTAGTTAAGAAAAAGCCCAAATGGGGTTTTTCCTTTCTTTCAGACAGCAGGATTCTCTGTGAGGACAAAGAGCAGCTCCTCGCTCGTGGAGATCGATGGGAACCTTCCCGGGAAGCAGATGAGAAGTTGATGACAAACCTGGCGAGGGAACATAATTCCTTTGACAACGAGTATAGTCTCTGCATTAACTGGAAATCTTTCTCTCTTTCCAGTCATCTGTGAGCTGAAAATATGTGGATTACAGCTCTCTTGGAGTGCAGGAATATGGCACTTCAGTAAGGACAGAGGCGTTCCTGGAAGATGGCTCAGCATCAGTGATATTAATGCCTCCTTCAAACCCATTGCTTTGTGCTTAATAGAAACTCAGCCTGGATTTGTCTCCTCCTCCATAGAGTCCTGAAGCTTGTAAATGCAGATTAATCTGATTATGGCAACGCTGAAGAGTCTGGAGCTCTGCATTTAAATAACCCCCTTTTCGGGACAAATCAGCCTTGATTCTTAAAAGTACTAAAATAAAGCTAAAACCCTCCAGCTTCCCCACGTGTTACCAGTTTTTCCTGTGCAATTATGCAGGGAGGAACTGAAGTTTACAGGGTCCCTGGGGATTTTGCTGCTGTCTTGCAGAGTGCTGTGGCAATCACTTCATGTCACAGCAGTGACTGCCTGTCAGCAGTCCTGCTATGAGTCTGTCCCAGGGATCATCACCCTGTCTGGGCCTGGGTGGCATCTTCCAGGTCAGTCCCACCTAATTCCATTAAATAGAACATCCCTTCCCTTTCAGACCTTGCTCTCAGGGGCAGCTTCACTGACTTACCTTGAGGACATCTCCTGCCTCCAGCTCAAAGGTCCTGGCTTTCAGCTGGATCCCCTTCCCTGGCTGGGTCTGGATGGAGTAGATGCACTCGTGGTTGTTGTTGTAGTTGAGTGGGTAGTTGGGGGACAGCAGCACACCCTGGGTTCCAGTGACAGAGGAGCCACATTCAGCTGCACCAAGACACAAAAGCACATTTTAATAACCACGTGGACCTTCTGGCCATGCCACACATGCACGTGATTCCTCCAAAGGCCACAGTTCCTCACTCCTTCCTGCACTCAGGAAGAAGGAAAGAGGCTTTTCCCTGCTGTTGTTCCCTACAACCTGCAGTCTGTCCCTGCTCCATCACATTTTCCTGCTCAGACTTCTCCCCTCCTTCTCCAGACCTGCCTCCTCCTCCACTCTGAGCACTGTAAACACCATCTGACTTGGAGCCAAATTTGAAGTCAGAAGGTTTGTGGGACTCAAAATGATGCCATTTAGAGAAGGAAGAGGTGGCAGCTTTGGAGGCTCAAACCTGTCCTGGATGTCAGGAGATGACAGTTCAATGCTACTGGAAAATAACCACCACCCCTCACCTCTGTATTTCATATTTTAATTACAAGCTTTGAGGACACAATCTCTGCCTCACAACCTCCCCACAGGGAACCTGCACTGCCCCTGCTGCTCCCCCAAGGAAGGGTCAAAGCAGCAGCAGCAGATACACCCAGAGGAGGCACTTTGGGGGGGACTTTCTCCTCCTCTCTTGCCATGCACAAAAAGCAGGGCCCTCACTTTGGCACAGATTCCCCAGGGATGGTGCTGGACACATCAGCACCCGGGATCTGCTGGAAGCAGCAGCTGGTGTGGAGAGTTCCTGCCCTGGACAGCGGGGCTGGACAAAGGAACAAAACACCCTCAGTTCTCTCCCCACCATCTCTAGAACAGGACCTGAATACAGAGTGCCTGGAAAAGCAATTAAATCTCCTGTGATCTTAACGAGCAAGTCTCCAGTTTCCATCTCCACCCGGGGTGAGCGCAGAGATCTGAGCTGGGGCCACTGTGACACGAGCTGGGGATGCTGTGACAGGGCTGTCACCCTGCCCAGAGCTCTGGGCCATCAGCACAGAGCCCGACCTGTCACCACAAACCCTTCTGAGCCAGCTGCAGCAGGGAAATGGCAGCCACCGTGTCCACGCAGGGCTGAGCTCTGAGGATCGGCTTGAAAAGCTTTGTAAATGATTCTGTTTGATTCCCGTTCCCCTGATTAGCTTTATCTGCAGCCTGGTTATTATTCATGCCCTGAAGAGCTGCCTGGCACAGCAGGATGATGCAGCCCTGTGACCTCAGCATTCCGCAGTGCCGGGAAACGCATTCGGCACCGCGGGATGAGAGGAGAGACCAGGCTGGCTCTGGAGGGGATGTCTGCTCTGCAAGGGCCCTCAAAGGTCACCCACAGATCAGGACAATGGCCCTGGCAGGCTCTGCCACGCTGCAAACAGGTGAGAGACCTGCCCTGCCTGCTCTGGATAAATCCCTCCTGGCTCTGGGCAGCACCAGAGCTCTGAACAACCTCCTGCTTCAACTGTACGACAAAAAAATGGGTTCCATCTTTTTGCCAAGGCCTGGAGCATCCTCCTGCCTTTCTGCAGTAGAAGTTGGCCTCTGTTCCTTTACCAGGTGCCATGGGCTGGGCAGGGGGTGCTCCCAGCCCTATCAGGGAAGGGTCCTTGCCCCCCATCTTTGCCCCCGGGGAGGACAGTCAGGAGCCAGCTCAGTGCTGCAGAGGAATCCTCCCTCTCCTCCGGCCTCAGATTTATTTATTTGTTGTGTAACTAACGGCTGGAGGGGCTAAAAAAGGACTTGCAGGGCTGAAAGCTCATCCCAGCTCATCCCAGCTCCCTCTCCCCATCCCTGCACCGACCCCCCCCACGAGCGGAGCGACCACATCCCGGGGGGACATCGCCCATCCCGGGGGGATATCCCCCATCCCAAGGGACATCCCCCATCCCGAGGGACATCCCCCACCCCGAGGGACACCCCCCCATCCCTGCCCACCTACAACCAGCCAGCACAGCGGGACCAACCAAGCAAAATGAAAGCACATGACCACCTACCAACACACCTTGGCAGAGGCGAACTCCACACCCGCCGCCTCCCCCCGAGGCAGGTGAGCCGGGGGGCTCCTTCCAGCCGGTACCCCGGGAAGCAGGAGAAGGTGAGCACGTCCCCCACCCCGAACTGCAGCCCCTTCCTGATGCTGTAGGCTGGCACCTCTGGCTCGTCACAGGGCTCCAAGTCGTACTCTGGAAGGGACAGACAGACGGTTATGGGGCGGTGGGTGATGCCTCTCGTTCCATCCTCCCCCGAGGATGAGGAGGGAGCTCCAAGTGTTGGCTCCACCTGCAGGGAAGTTCTGATTCCAGAGCTTTGTGAACCTCAGGATCCACGAGGATGGATGACCTGTTTGAGCCATGAAGACCCACCTGGATCTCACTCTCCACGTTCAACCCCCCCAGGGGCATCACCTCGATTCAACCCCCCCAAACCACCCCAGGTTCCATTCCCTGTCCCTTTGTAATGGAGAGGGAGATCCAGCTACAACTCCAGCCACGACTGCTGCATGGAAGAGGAGAGACACTGCTGCTCTGAAAGTGGAAAGGATCTTTCCTTCTTCCCTTCTGGACTTTTATTGGAGGGAAAAGAGATTTGATCCAATGTAAATATTGCTTCACCACAGGAGAGAGAGTTAAGATTGTGTATATAATGTATTATAATATCTAGTTGTGTAATAATTGGAATATAATTCCCTTCTCCCCATATTTAGTCTTGTGTTGTGTCTGGAAAATCCCTCTCACACTGGGGTGAGTTGTGGGAGGGGGGGGTTGGACTGGGAAATTGGATTTTTGGGGGTCTCAGCCCCTTGATTCAACCCCCCCTGAAATCACAACGAGTTCCATTCCCTGTCCCTGCTGTCACACAACCAGCCAGGTGACACCAGGGGTGACAAAGCACGATGGAGATTTGTCATTCCCCCTCTGCTTCAGGCAGACGGAGATGGATTGATCCCGGTGGGATTCCTGCTGCCTCTCCATTACTAATCCTGGAAATGAATGGATGCAGCATCTTGTTTGGGGAGTGCAGGAGAAAACACTTGAGCTGCTGCTGAAAGAAAGGTCACGTAGGATCTCGGCTGAGAGCCAGAACTGGGTCTTTGACCACAAAACACGTCAGAGCAAACCTCTCTGGAGGGTTGTTTTTTTTGAAAAAATAACAGACCTGCAAAGTATAAAGTCTGCACATAAATATATATATATATATATGCATGTAAAGGGAGCTAAAAATATAACTGGCTCCCAGCTTTGCTTTCCAAGAGAGGAAAGCGGCCTCCAAATACATGGAAAATCAGAGTTATAATTAGAGGCGAGCTTTTGAAAGGCAAAAAGCCATTTTCCCCCTCATCAAAACGAAAGTTAATTGGAAATTCTCTGACTGGTTTCCACAGAGTATCACATGCAAATCCCTGAACTTCAGAGGCCAGAACAAAGGCACTGGAAACCAGGTTTTATCTGCATCTATGGCAACAGCTCTGTCCCTCAGTGAGTGTGTCAGCACCGAAGCTCCCACAATAAAAATGGGCATTTCTCTTCCAGCCCCAAGTGCTGAATTCGCAGCTGTGGCCTCAGGACTCGGAAGGACACGGGGATGCATTAAAGAACAGCACCCAGGCAATAAACTTGTGTCCCTTAACTGATTGTTTTTGGGGAATGGCTTGTCAGGGCACTCAGGCAGCAAAGATTGACATTCCCTGGAATGTGTGCACAGGCAAATGCTTGAGAGTCCTCTGCAGGAGTTCAGGTTGGAGGACACAGTCCAGCAGCAGGTGCCCTTCAGCCAGAGATCACCACACAGGGAGTGCTTACAAGGGGGTGACAGGACTGAACCTCTGGAATTAAATCTCTGCAGGTATGTTCACTGCTTTCTCCCTCCTCCCCCTCCTCCTCCTCTCTCTGTTTCTGGACACAGTTCCAGCCCCATGGGCAGCACTGTCCCTCTTTCCCCCCAAGCCTGCTCTGGTTATCCAAGGAAAATCACTGCAGCAGGTACAGCCTCTCCAGCAGGGCAAGCTGGGACAGATGGGAGCTTTTGGAGGGCTGTGCTGAGCAATCTGGACTTCTTGGCCAAGGAGCAGGGCAGAGCTGCTCTGGTCTCTCTCTGTGCCTCTGGTTCGTTGCTCCACTTGGGTGCTCAGCCAGTGACCAACCTCTGCAGCCTGTCCTGGATGTGCCTCTGCCCCAGAGCCAGGCTGGGAGGGCTGGGAGTGTCCAGCCTGGAGAAGAGATGCTCCAGAGAGACCCTGGAGCCCTTTCCAGTGCCTAAAGGGGACTTTGGACAAGAGCCTGGAGGGACAGGACAAGTGGGAATGGATTCATATTGGAAAAGGGGAGATTTGAGTGGGATATCAGGAAGGAATCCTTCCCTGGGAGGGTGGGGAGGCCCTGGCACGGGTTGCCCAGAGAAGCTGTGGCTGCCCCATCCCTGGAAGGGTCCAAGGCCAGGCTGGAAGCAGAGAACAAATATCACATTATTCATGGAACTCTTCGGAGAGGGAATGAAAACAAAATGGCCAAGGGCAAAATGGGCATCAGTGTGTTTTCCATTGAAAGAAAACTCCTCCACTGAAAGAAAACTCCACTGGGGGATGGCTCATGGCACAGGACCATCGGGATGATGCCACTGAGGAACCACAGCCCAAAAATCCCATGTGGATGCCCAAGAGCAGCAAGTTCCAGTTCAAAAAAAACCTCCCTCCATCTCTGCTTTTCCAGATTTTATCCCAGGCTTTCACCCTTTCTCCCCTCTCCTCCTTGTCCCCTAAAAGGCAATACCTGGAATAGAGAGATGACCCTTGGATGATGGGAAAGGGAGGGTGGGGAGGCCCTGGCCCAGGTTGCCCAGAGAAGTTGTGGCTGCTCCATCCCTGGAAGGCTCCAAGGCCGGGTTGGAAGCGGAGAACCTTTAAGATCCCTCCCGACCCAACCCGTCCTGTGATTTGCAGCAAAGCAGGAAGGGAAAGGATCAACTCTTCCCCCAGCACTGCTCTTACCTGAGAAGGTGATGTTGAAGCCCTCGTAGGACATGGAGAAGTCGGAGATGAAGCGGATCTGGGCCGAGAAGTTGCCGAAGAGCCCGGCGCTGAGCGGGGCCGGCAGGCGGGACCCCGTCAGCTGCTGCAGGGGCTGGGCAAAGCTGCTGTTCTCGGTGATCAGGAGGTAGTCGTGCCCATTCTCCAGGTGAAAGGTGTGGAAGGTGAAGAACACGCCTGCAGGGGAGGGAGGAGCAGAGGTGGTTTCACTCCCGGGGTCCCCACGGCTCTCCCCGAGCCCGCCCCGATCCCCCCCAGGAGCAGCTCAGTGAGGGGGGACATCCCAGGGAAAACCGTGTTAGAAACAAAACAGATAAAACCCCTGAACCCAGGGTGTGGGACAAGGCCCAGCACAGGGCCAGGCAGTGGGGATGTGGGACTCCTGTGCCTCGGGAATGTGGGAACAGCAGCAGGAGCAGCAGCAGCAGCAGGAGCAGCCTGGCAGCTCTGAGAGGTGTTTTATTAGAACAGTGTTGACCTTTAAATAGAGAGCAAGAGCAGCAAGAGCTGTAGCTGTGAGGACTTGAAAACAAGCATGTTCCAGAAGGAATTCATACCTGGAAAAATAGGACTTATGCCAAGTATCAAGGTCAGAGAGGCTCTTCCAGAAGATGAAGAGTGTCAGTGGTGGAACTGCAGGGACCTTCCCTGCCTTCCCGTGATGGGACTGAATCACAAAATCATGCAATGGTTGGGGTAGGAAGGGACTTTCAAGACTGTCTAATCCCACCCCCCTGCCATGGGCAGGGACACCTCCCACTAGTGCAGGTTGCTCCAAGAAAATCCTACACTTTTATTCACATTACACTGCCAAAAACAAACCCCACAACACATCCAGCCACAGAAGGAACAGCCAAACAGGGGACAAGTATTTTGTCTCGTCTCCCAAATTCGATTTCAACAATTTGAAACATTTTTTTGGGAGAAGGCTGTGACCTTGCTGCATTTTGGAAATGAGCTAGAAAGGAGTAATGGATTACTTAAAGCATCCTTCACACCTCCAGACACAGAATGGGAAGCACTTCAGGGTTTTGCAGGAGCCTCCAGCGGGGTGATTTTTTTTCCTGCTGGAATTCAAACGCCATTAGAAACACTTATTGTGTGGAAAATAATTCCATCTTTGAAGGGGGAAAAAAATAAAAAAAATAAATAAAAACCAACAAAAAATGGCAGCAACAGCTTGGAGGGAGCAAAGGCAGGCAGGACCTGAGATCAGAACCCCTGTCACATCCTCGTCACAGCGAGTTAACAAGGCAAAGCCACGGCGAGCAATAAAAAGCCTCTTTGCATTTATATGGCTTTTTTTCAGCCCAGTATCTCAGCTCGGTTTCTGAGTGCCCAGGGCAGGGCTCCTGAGCCCCTGATCGTGTAGGATTGGGATTCACCCTCCTCAGAATCCATCTGGAGAGACACAGCCCTCACATCCCACACATCCCACACATCCTACACATTCCACACATCCATAAACATCCCACATATCCTACACATCCCTAAACATCCTACACATCTTGTATATCCTGCACATCCCACACATCCCTAAACATCCTACACATCCCACACATCTTGCACATCCTGCACATCCCTAAACATCCCTAATCATCCCACACAGCTCTCACATCCCACACATCCCTAAACATCACACGCATCCCACATATCCTACACATCCCTAAACATTCTACACATCCCACACATCTTGCACATCCTGCACATCCCTAAACATCCCACACATCTCTAAACATCCCTACAACACATCCCACACATCCCTACAACGCATCCTACACATCCTGCACGTCCCACACATCCCACACATCTTACACATCCCACACATCTGGCACATCCTGCACATCCCCCACATCCCTGCACATCCCACACATCCCTCCACCAGCAGTCTGAACAGTTCTGCTGCCAGCAGGGAACACATTTACACAACTCAAGCACTCTCTGATTTTCCTTGCTGTGGTTTTCCTTTTCCCAAAGCCCTTTCTGTCCTGGCCCTGCTCACAGATCAGCTCCTGCCCCTCCACTGCCCCTTGGGAGGAAGTTTTGGCCTCTCCCAGGTTCTCCCCTCCCAGGTCTTTGGGAACATCCCACACGTGGCCAGCACACAAGTCCCTTAATTGCCCCAACTTGGCTGTTCCAACAGTTATTTTTATGTCACTGCAGACACTGAGTTACTTTATGGCCTCACAAGCTCTACAATTTCAGTTTAAAAGCAGCTTAATTTTAAAGGTATTTAAATGCTTAAAGGGAGACTATTATTTTTAATCTGAGAGCTTCAAAGTGATTTCTTCTCCCTATAATTTGTTTTGCTGTTTCTTCTGCAGAGAATGGGAAGGAAAAAAAAACAAAACAAAACACCAACCTTGTGTTTGCAGAGACATTCTGTGCCACAGTAAATTTCAGACCAGAGCAAAGGTTTAATCGGTCACAAATCCTTTAAAATGAGTTTATAATTAGCCCTTATGGCAACAGTTCCACAGCCCTTAACTGGCTCTCCTCGTGTGCTTGGGAGGTTTTACCTTAAAAAACCTGCAGTCCTCCAGCTCTGGGGACTGAACTGCCCTTGTGTTGGGTTGATTTTTGTGGGGTGATATTATTTCTGTTCCTTAGGTTGGGCTGGGTAAAACTGAGGGCATGAATTTCCTCTCAGATGATAAACAGGGAGAATTAAAGACATTTTGCCCTCCCCACATGTCACTCACAGGTCAGATCTATTTTCAGCTGACTGGTAGGAGCAATAAACACTTGGAAACTATTGGAAGCTTCCTGCCTCTCTGGAATTTTGCAGGGGCACCAGTGGAACCAAAAATGTTCTGTCAGGCTCCATTTAATATTTACTTGGGTGTAAAGAAGGAATTGTCAAAGTCAAGAGGAGCCCTTTTGCTTTGGGTCATTCAAATCCTTCTGCCTGGGACAGGGAAGGTGATCAAGGAGCAATGAGCTGCTGCACAGGGATAAAGTTGGGATGTCCCTGTGAGCCCTCCTGCTTCCCAGTTCCATGGGAAAGGCTTTGTGTTGGTCTCCAGCCTCTCTGACCTCCATTTCTTGGAAGGAAACGCTTCCATGTGACCAGCACACCTTCAACAAGCACTTGGATAGAGGGAAGGATAAATGGAATATTCAGTTATAATGTGATGCTGTGGAAAGCAGTCCACAGGGATGCTCAGAGCCAAGGCTGAGTTGTTGGGATGGTCCAGGAGTGCCCACAGTGCCCTGCTGGCAGGGCTGGGCTGTTCCCTCTGCCCTGAACTGGCCCCAGCAGCATCTCCCAGAGCCCAGAGAACAAACACCCCTGGATTTACAGACAAATCCCTGCCAGCCAAAAAAAAACCCGTGGTTTTTTCCAGCCTTGGCCTGAAGAATTCCCTCTGATGTTGACATAAAAGCAGCCAGGCCATCAGAGCTGCACTTTCTCATGTCAAACAGAGCCAGTTTGGTGCTCTGGGCCGAGCTGGGCTCCGGGATAACACAACGTCTCACCGGAGAGCTGGAGCCCAGGCAGAGTGGATTAATTGGAGAGTGGATTGCAGCCACTCCACAGAACACTTTTCCCAGCATGTGATGGTTCCCTTAATGCACTGTGCTGTTCATTGACAAGTTTATTTGCTGTAATACAAATGGAATTTGGCAAATTGGCTCATGAGCCCTCCCGCCGTGCCGGTATCGGGTACGACAGGAGAGTTATGGAAGAGTGAGAAAGTCATCTAAAGGCTTTGTATCCTCTGTGTGAGCCCAGGAGCTGCTGCTGGATCGTGAGGAATTACCCCCCTCCCCTCATCAAACCTGCTCTCTGATCATCAGTGATACTTTTCCTCGACTTTTCCTCCAATAGGCAAGAGCTTGGCCTGCACAGGAGCCTGGCCTGAACATATTTGCACTGGAAATACTCCTGGGCAGTGGGAAAAGGGGAGAGGCAGAGCTGGGAACTGAGAGCCCAGGTCCTATCCCATGTCTGGGAATGATTTCCTACGTGCTCCCACTTCTCCAGCTGTAAAATGTTCCCCAGACAGTGACCCAGCCTGAAAGGGCCACCAAACATTCCTGCAGGGGTGGCAGTGGCAGGTCCTCCCTCCTCTGTGGGACATTCTTGTCATTTACAGGCATCCAAACGCTGCATTTCAGGATATTTGGATCTACAGATCTCTCTCTCTCTCTCTCCTGATTTTCAGGATACTGCCACAAAGGTCTGAAACAGGACACAACACCTGCCACAGGTCGTGGTTGACAGAGAACCACCTTCCCCTCTTAATCCTCTCCACTTTGAAAGGGTGACTAGTTCTGACACCAAAATCCTCTGCATCTTATCCAGAGACAAGGTTTGGGTGGTGGCAGAACTGGCCAAGCCCGTGGGCACCACCACTACTGAGAGAAATTCCTGGTTTACACAGGGAGCAGCTTCTCTCCCACTCACCACCATCCTTCAGGCCTCCCAAACTGCTCCAAGCTGGAGGCTCCTCACCTTTTCCATGGGATGTTTCTATTGTCCACGTGCAGTTCAAGTTGTTGGGATAGAAATCGGGGAAGCCTGGGGACAGGATGGTACCACTGGAGCCACGGATGTAACCTCCACAGAGAGCTGCAGACAGGGCAGAGGGAGAACAAAACCACTCAGACAACCCCCTAATGAGGGCCATCAGCTCTTCCAGGTGGCAAAACAAAGCCCAGCCCCCCAAAATCAAAGAAAACACACGATCAGATGTCAGTGGGAGATTCCCAGATGTGCCAGGGCGGGGTTTGCCCCCCCTGCAGATGTGCCCTTACCCTCACAGCTGGGCAGGGGGCGGCTCCACTGGAAGTTGGGCTCACACTCCAGGGCCTCGCTGTCACTCAGGGTGTATCCTGAGTCACAGCTGAAGGTCACCAGGGCTCCCACGTAGAAATCGTTGCCGTGGCGCTGCCCGTTCACCGGGATCCCGGGGTCCAGGCAGTGGTCGGACTGGAGCTTCACAGCTGTGCCAACAAAGCCTCAGTCACTGCTCAGCCCCTCCCAGAGCTCACCCCAAACCCTGCAGGTTACCCCCAGAGTGAGAGGTGGAATAGAGAGAGGAACTGCTGGGATTCTTGGGGCTGGGAGCTGGATTTGCGATCCGTGTGGGATCTACGGCAGGATGTTCTGGGACTCTGGGAACTCATCCCTGCCTCCTAAAATCAAAACTGAAAAACTCTACATAAACAGCCAAGTTGGTCAATGGTTGTGGACTCCCCATCCCTGGAAGTGGCCAAGGCCAGGCTGGAAGGGGCTCTGAGCAACCTGGTACAGTGGAAGGAGCCCCTTGCCCACAGCGAGGGGTTAGAACAAGGTGAGCTTTGAGGTCCCTTCCCACCCAAACCATTCCAGGATTCCAGAAAAGGCAGAAACTGCTCCTCCACTGGCACAAAGCAGTGCAGCTTCTCCCTCCCCAGCCCCTGAGCAGTGAGAACTGCCTGGCACAGGGAAAAGGAGATCCAAGGGGCCCCTGACTGAGGCCACTGTGCTGCTGGAGAACACGGGATGACACGGAATGACCCCGAGACCCCGCACTCACTTTCGTATCGGATCTGAAAGCCAATGTCAGAGTGGCTTTTGTCAGTGGTGAACAGGAGGTAGAGGTAGTTGCTGGTGCTGATGAGGAACTGGGGCACCTGGGTCCCGTCGTAGACCCCGATCAGGGGGGAGGAGTAGGAGCGGCCGTCCCGCACTTCCAGCGTGTCGTAGTTCACCTCAGTCTTGAACCTGGAAGGGCCACGGGGGAACTGAGCACCCCACGTGGCTCAGTTTGCTGAACTGCAGCCCTGAGGCAGCTGGAACAACCAGGAGGCAGCACAGGCCACGGGGGGAGAGGTGGGGGCCTTCCTCCTGCCTGAGCATCTCCCTGGAGCCCGTCAGCCCCGTGTTTCTTGCTGACCCCTCACCTCCCTCATCTGCTGACACCGAGCAGTCCTTGCAGCAACAATCCCCTCCCAGACACAGGAGTCAGGAGAGCACGGCCCCTCCTCCAGCTGTGCAATCCAGGGGAAGCCAAGAGACTCAGCATTCCCAAGCCTGGAGCAGATCCTCCCTGCTGCTGCTCCCCCAGGAACGCGGGGGAGGCTCAGCCTCCAAAAACGTGTCCTACCCGTGCCTAAAATAACACTGCAGAGGAGCAGGAGTGAGTCAAAACAGGGGAAAAAAATCACTATTTCCCATCTTTTCTACTTGAATGTCAGGTGAATTTTAATGCCTTGTCAGTTGATAAATAAAAAAGGGGAGGAGAGAACCTCAGTGCCAGACACGCACGGAGCAGCTCGTTCCTCGCCTGGGCTGCACCTCAACCCCCCGGGAACCACCCAGAACACCCCCAGAGAGGGAGTTTGGAGCAGCACCTGTCAAAGGTGATCTTGATGGGGTAGCCAGGCTGGGCCTCGATGACCCAGGCACAGCTCAGCGAGTCCTTGTAGAAGCCAGGCCAGCCAGGGGACAGGATGGTGCCACTGGGCGACGTCAGGTGGCCACCACAGGGTGCTGGGGACAAGGAAATGGCACAATTCACACAATCAGCCACCACAGAGGCTGGAAAAAGCCTCCTAATATTATCAAGTCTAACGCTGCCAAGTCCCCCACTAAACCATGTCCCTCAGTGCCACGTCTGCACATGTTTAAATTTGGGTGAAGAGCAGCACAGAAGCTGCAGCACCATCAGATGCTCCCTCCCTGCCAAGGCAGGGCCATCCTGCCATGCAAAGCTTTCATGCACTGCTGTCTCCCACCTGTTAAAAATAATCAGAAACACCAACAGGAACTGGTAAGAAATTGCCTTTTCAGCTTAGAATGAAGACACAGTAATCTGCTCCTGTCCCTGGGGGGGCCAGCAGCCTGACCTTGAGCAGTGGCTCCGAGGGGACAGGGTGTAATAATAATTGTTAGACATAAAAGCAGAGGAATCTGCAAGGTCAGTTTGCATTTCAGCAGCTGCAGGTGCCAGAAATCCTTTCCTGCCTGTGGTAATTGAGTCGTGGCTTTTCTACCACGAGGGACATCACCAGACCACGGCATTTATTCCACACCGTGGTCCCTCGTGCCACCAGCAGAAGCTGAAGGTATATTATTATTATATTTTCTGGGGGCAAAAAAAAACCCGAAAAGACACTGGAGCTGATGGATCAGAGGTGGAAAAATCCCACAGCCCTCAAAAAACTGCCAGGTCTTGTCCTTGGGGCCTGTGGGACCAGCTCTGAGGAGCAGCTGCTGAAGCACCCACCCAGGGCCAGCACAAGGGCCACCCAATGTCACCCTGGGAGTGACCTAAAATATGTCAGTCTGGGCCTAAACCCCCCCCTGCTGATGGGAAGGAGGCAGATGAAAGTCATTTGATCTCAACTGGATCCAAAGCAATTATTTTTGAACGAGAGGCTCCTTTCTGCCCCAAAGCCACATCATCTCCTGTCAGGGCTTCTCCCCATCTTTCAACTCCTTTTTTTTTTAGGTCTCTTTCTTTCCCATTAAATTTTTTTCAAGTGCTAAACAGTACTTTAGATCTCTGTGCTTCCTCCTTGTTTAAAAAGGGTAATTAAAATGTCCACTTATCCAGTGCAGACTGAAGGGCGAGTCAAAGAACTCACCACTGTGATCAAGAGGAAAAGGCACGAGTTGATGGCACAAGGTTATCAAGGCTTCCAAAGAGAAAAGTTGATTAAAAGTGTATTATTTAATGTATGTTTCCTGCCTATACTTAAAAATACAAAAAACTTAAAGGCTCGTGCTTTGAAAGTAAAGGGAACCCTGAATTAAATCTACCTTCTGTCAGCTGAAGAAAAATTATATAAGAACATAAAAAGTCCGGTTTTCTTATTATATAAAACTTGTTGAACACAATTGACACCTTCTTCTTTCCACCTCAAACACAATGGGCAAGATTGTGCAATTTCTGCTGCTCATCCACTCGAGCAACACATGACAATTACTGAAATTATTGCTCAATATTCCAGGACTATTTCTCAAGAGCACAGCACTTGTTACTCAAATTGCTGAAAACACCAGTGCAGGGCATCACTTCCCTGAGAACAGAGGGCAGAGGAAGACTTTACACTCCTAATGAGCTCTTTCTTCCCTTCTCTTTTTCCAGAGTAGAAGCTTTAAAGGACTAAAAGAAAGCTTTGAAATCTGTATATGGGCCTTTAATTCAGCCCATCTCCCCCACATCTGGGTTGGCTGTGGTGGCCAGGAGATGTAAATGCAAAATTTCAAGCTCTCAACCACCAAAGTCCATTGACAGGACTTCATTATATAAACATCCTACATTTTACATCTCAAAAAATCAGGACAGAAAAACACCACCATGGATCTTCCACTGGCTGTTGTTTAATTCCCTCCTGACAAGAGCAGCAGGGGAGCTTTCAGCTATCCCTAAATCACAACCTTTTATTCCTGTTATTAGAAAAAAACACCTGTTGTAACAAGAACTGAGCAATAAAAGAAAACCCCCAGCATTCACTTCCCCCCCCCCAAAAAAAAAAACCTGGAAAAAAAACCAGGGGTTTGTTATTATTGGACTGGCACTTCCTGCTGAGGAAACTCTGCTGTGCAGAGACAACACCCTCCAGAGCCAGGGGAAATCCTCGTCCTCCAGGCTGGGTCTGAAGCTGTGCCAGGGGAGGGTTAGGTTGGAGATTAGGAAGAATTTCTTTCCAGAGAGGGTGCTCAGCCATTGGAATGGGCTGCCCAGGGAAGGGGTGGATTCTCCATCCCTGGAGGTTTTTAAGATGGGACTGGATGTGGCATCAGTGCCATGGGCTGGGAACCACAGCGGGGTTGGATCAAGGGTTGGACTGGATGATCTGGGAGGTCCCTTCCAACCCAGCTGATTCTATGATTCTAGGATTTTGGGTGGGATGCTGAGAGAAACTCTCCCCTGGGAGGGTGGGGAGGCCCTGGCACAGGTTGCCACCAGAGAGCTGTGGCTGCCCCAGGCCCTGGGAGCATCAAGGCCAGCTTGGAGCAACCTGGGACAGTGGAAGGTGTCCTTGCCCAGGGCAGGGGGTGGCACTGGAAGGTGTCCCTGCCCAGGGCAGGGGGTGGCACTGGACGCTCTCTGAGCTCCCTCCCAGCCCAAACCACCCCAAGACCCTCCGAGCAGCAGGACTGACCTTCACACCTGAGCACGGGGTGGTTCCACACCACGTTGCCCTCCTGCAGGACGCAGGTGACGGTCTCGGAGCCGTGGGTGCGGATGAAGCCCTCGTCACACAGGAAGGACACGGAGCTGCCCAGCTGCAGGCTGTCCCCAAAACGCTTCCCGTTGACCGGCACGCCGGGGTCGGGGCACTCGTTGTGCCGGAACGCTGAGGGAGGGGGGAAAGGGAGGCAAGAGAAGGGTCAGCGTCTCGTTTCCCTCCACCCCTGCCCCAAAACCAAGCTGGCTGAACATCAAACTTTGGTTTTTTCAGTTCCCAAGTGTTTTCTTTGCAGCCTGAGGGGAGGGGTGAGGTTAAAACCAGTTGAGCCCCCCCCAAATCTTGTTCCCGAAGCTTGGCCATGATGATGATGATGATGATGACCCAAGAGGGGCTGAGATCCAGCAGTGACAGGGCCAGAGAAGAGCCTGCAGGACCAAGTCACCTCCTCAGACATCTCCAAATATGAAAATACACATATATGTATTTATAAATACTCAAAATAGAGATAGGGTTCAGTTCAGAACTTCAAGCAGTCAGAACAAATTAATTCCTCTGCACTTGAAAGCCCATTTACACCAGTAAAAATTGTTTTAAAATGTCTTTATACACCAGGGGTGGGTGATGGATGGGAGATGCACAGGGAGGGCACCACCAGTTCCTGGGTGAGGTGTCACCCTCCTGACAGGATCTGGGGCTCAATCCTGGCTCTGATACCCCCTCACACAAACCCCTTCACCTGAGGAGCCTCCAGCCTGCTGAAGTTTGGCAAATGTTTTCTTAAGCCCTCTGATTTTTCCCTTTTTTTTTTTTTTTTTTAAAATAAAGGCTTTGCAATCATGGCTAGAAAGGCTATTAATTTAGCTGTGCCACGAAAGGCCATTATAACAAAGCCATTTATCAGTTCTGCTGAGTAGGTTTAATAATGCTCTTTAGAAAATTACAGGACAATATGAGGGTAAAATTGCCGTGGCATTCACTGGAGATTTGAAGACTGGACTTAACATGGAGCCAAATCCATCTGTGGAAATTTCAGGGCTTTATGTTATATAAGGCAGTGCTACATGTTTGCCTTCATCTTCAAAGCCTTGCATCTCTCTTAGCTCTCAGCAGAGGAGGGGGGTGTTGGCTGATGAACACAACCAGCCCAGAGCTGCCCACAGAGCATCCCCTCAACCCCAGAGGCAGAGCAGGGAGCCCAGAGAATCCCAGAGTCACAGCCTGCTTTGGCTTGGAGGGGTTAACTCCTTCCACTAGCCCAGGTTGCTCCAGCCTGGCCTTGGACACTTCCAGGGATCCAGGGGCAGCCACAGCTTCTCTGGGCAACCTGTGCCAGGGCCTCACACCCTCCCAGGGAAGGATCCCTTCCCAACATCCCATCTAAACCTGCTCTCCTTCAGCTTAAGGCCCTTCCCCTTGTCCTGTCACTACCCACCCTTGCCCAAAGTCCCTCTCCAGCCTTCTTGCAAAGCCATGGACACATCTCCTGATGGGAGAACACAAATCCTGGCTGCTCCAGGGACACATAACCCAGGGCCACATTGGGTTTTTATTCCTGGACAAGAACTTGTGCCACCAGCTCTAAGCTTGCCACCAATCCCCAATTTACCCAACTGCAAATCTGAGGTAATCCCCACTATTCCAGATTTCCTCTGGAATCCCAACAGCTTTACTGAGCTCAATCTCTCGCCCACCAGTTCCCAGCAAGAATTCAGAGTGTGAAATGCAAACCAGGAGGGTTTGCAGGGGACATTTCAGCATTTAGGTCCTAAACAAGACAGCTGTCAGCATATCCTGTGCAGGGCCAGGAGATGGACTTGATGATCCTCAGGGGTCCCTTCCATCTCAGCATATTCTATGATATCATCCTTGACTGTCCATCAAGACTCCTGTGCTAGGTAGATTCATTTTTCTGCTGCTTTAGCTTGAGAGAGATTAAAACTTGTTTATCTCTTACTTACACTGTAAGATTTCCATATTTTCACAGCCATTACCTTTCTCTGCATTGAGGGTGTTCCTGAGGCCTCAGAGAGAAGAAACAACCTTTTTTTTGACCTGGTGTGTGGTTGGGATTCCTTCACACCACACAGAGGACACTGCTGGCAGGGTGTGCTGCCTTCATGCCAGCTCAAATGCAAATTGTGTAGCTCAACTCAATTTTAATAAAGGGGGGCAAACTCACTGGTGAAGGTGATGTTGAAGCCTCTCTTCTCCATGGAGTGGTCGGTCTGGAACTCCAGCCTGGCCACGTGGCCGCTGCTGGTCAGGGAGGAGGGGATCTGGCTCCCTGAGAAGGTGCCCAGCACCGGGGACTCGGCGGTGCCGCCGTCCTTCACGGCCAGGAAATCAAACTGGGGCTCCACGTCGAAGTCGTTGAAGGCCAAGTGGATCCTGCTCTCGGGCTTGGCGATGATGAGCCACACGCAGTGCAGGCTGCTGCCGTACTCCTCGGGGTAGTTGGGGGACAGCACGATCCCCGCCGGGCTGGTGAAGTTGAAAAAGCAGGAGACTGCAAGAAAAAAAACCAAAACCCGACCCGTCAACCAGGCAGCAGAGGGACCTGGAGGGGTTGGAGGGCTGGGCTGATTCCAAGGGGATGGAATCGAAATAAAACCGAAATAAAATCAAAGCTGGGGTCTGCAGCAAGGTCTTCTGCTGTGGCACAAGAACCTGGAGGAAGGAACTGACTCAGCCCTTACTCCATGCACAGCTCCAGCCTCTCCTCTGCTGCTGCCCATGGCCAAGCTTTTTGATTCAAACTGCTGGGCCAGCTGCAGATAATTCTGAGGGCAGTGCAGACTTCTCAGGATTTGCTTAAAAAAATAACCCCTGCCCTTTCAGGTGACCTTCCCATTGCTAAATGAGTTTTTCCCCGTGCTCCTCACCAGGTGTGACCCCACTGCACTCACACACCTCCTTCCACCCAGACCGTGCCCACCCCGCATTAAATATTTCTGGGGTCCAGCAATAAATTGCTGAGTCCTTTGAGAAGGAGCCATGAGGCAATTTATGTCCTTGGGCAGCTCTCTGGGCCTGTGTGAGCACTGAGAAAGGAAGGCTTTGGAGGAGCAGCCCAAGAACATTCCCCAATTTCCCCCCCAGCACCAGGGGGTTGGGACAATTCCCCCAGGGGGAGGGGGAAACTCCTCCTCCCATCACAAATAAATCACTGACTTCTGCTGGGACAGCACGTTCCCAAAAAAAGGCCTCCAGCCAGGCTGCAATTCCCAGGAAAACAATCAAACCTCCTTTAAGTGGAGTTGAGGGGAAGAGTGTTTAGGAAAAAACCCTTCAGCCCTCCAGGGTTTTCAATATATACTGTATTGCAGCTGACAAGGCCCATTAACCTGGAAAAGCAAGGCTGCCTCTCAAGTGGTACCTGCCCAGAGTTTGGGATATTTTATGTATGGATGCTCTGCTCATCCTTTTTTCCCCCCCATCACCCTTGGTAAAACCCATTACTGGGAACATACATCTCCCTAATTCCTGGCAAAGGGACATTGAGCAGAGGATGAGCCTGGGTTGAGTTTGGCATTTATACAATTATTTGGATCACTGCTCAGCCCTCCCTCTGTTATTTTCCCTCTGCCTTCCCTTCAACACTGGATGGGTTGGGATCCAAGAAATGGAGGTTACCATGACGTTATCAAGGCCACACCATCCATTCCCTGCTCTCAGCAACAAAGGGAACAGATTAGAGAGAAAACAAACTGCAAAATATCCTCAGGATTTGGGCTCTTTACAAGCTGCTGAAATATCAGGGGATGCTGTCAAATAATTCTGTCAGCATAAGCAGGGTATAATCTGCCTAAGAAATATTGCATTCACACCCAGGGAAACAGCTGAGTGGCAGAAACCCCTCCCAGGAACGAGGTGTCTCCTATAAATTTTTAAACCCCAAGTGGTAAATTAGCATTCAGCCAGAGGACCTCCAGCATCCCACCAGCCAGGCAGAGAGAGGTGCAGCACAGCTCAGCTCACAAAATACCAACAACAAAGAACTTGCTGACAAAGGGAAGGCAGAGGCAGGGTGAGGGAAGAATATAAAATTAACCTTTGCTAGATAAAACAAAGTGACAGATTAAAAAGGAGCTGATAAAAAAAAAACAACTCCAAAAGTCTCCACTGCAGAGGAGCAAATGAGGATTTGGAGTTGCCATAAGGTCAGTGAGCAGAAAGGCAAGTTGGGGCTGCAGGACTAAGGCCAAGAACCAGGTCCAAGTTCTTCTGGTCCAGAGGGATCCTCAATGAGGTCCTGGTGCCTGTGATAGGACAAATTTCCTTCCTCTTTTTAAGCTGAGGGGCTTTTTCTTCCCCGTGAGGAGACGTTTCAGCTCCGGGGCTGCACTGGGCAGGGCTGGGATCCACAGCACCCCTCTGCAGTGCTGGCCACCAGGATCCAGGCAGGAGCTGTTTAACAACATGTCACAGGCAGGGAGAAGAGCTGTCAGAGGGAGGATTTGAGCCAGGGAAGGTGGGAGACAGCCCAGCACTGCCTGGCTCGTGCTGTTTGTGCTGCTGAGACAGCGAGGAGCAAAAAGCCCCCGAGGAGCCAGCAGTGATTCCCAACATGACAGGGGTCAGCCCTGCTGCCTGCAGCCTGTCCATCAGGATCCCTGAGCTGGGAACAGCCCTGAGACCTCAGAGCCTGGAATTAATATTTATTACCCTTGTTCTTAAATGTTAGAAAAGGACATTTCATTATGAGCACGGCACAGGGTCCCGTTCATAAAGCCCACACTGATCTTTGTCAATAATTGTTCTTACTGACCAAGCACTGCAAAGGCAATAAGAAAAATCCCTTCATTAAATGCAGCAGAATAAATCCCAGCAGAAGCCAGCAGGGACAGAGCAGAGAGCACAGGCAGGAAGGGCCCAGCACGAGGGATTTGTTCAAGTCATCACAACCATCATCCAGGTTCTGCCTTGATTCAGAGCAGGAAAACAGGGAAGGAACAGCTCAGGAAGTCGAGAGGGACAGGTGGATGTGGCACAGGGACACTGTCCCATGTCCCTGGGGGTGATGCCTGAGGCTGGGCTGAACGCAGGGGAACCCAAGAGTTCTCCACCAGCACCTCCACCAGGAGCAATTCCTGCAGTTGTCTCACCCAAATCTTCTCTCTCCCAAGTTTTATTCTGCCTTCCAAAGATCCAGCTCCTCCACAAACCACCTCTCTCCTCCCACGAGGCCACACCTGGTGTCCCCAGACACTCCAGCCCTGCTCATCCTGCACGTGAGGATCCAGGGCTGACCCCAGGGAGAGGTCACACCGTGGGAACAGGGGCTGGAAAACCCAGCAGGAAACCACTGTAAGAATAATTGCAGTCTCCATGGAAACAATAAAAACTCCTGACTTCTCTCTCAGTTTTTTTAGATATTGTTCCCACAGACTGTGACCACTTGGGAGAGAGCTTGGAGACAGGAGTGGGTTTTCTCCTTGCCTTCCCTTTTGAAGAAGATCCCTGCTCTAGGCACAGCTTGGTGATGGAGTGGAAAAACGGGGGCTCAGCAGGAGCCTGGTTAATCAGAGGCATTCCTCACTTGGGAAGCACACATCCCAAAGAGCTGACAGTGCTGGAAGCCCAGGGCACTGCTCCAGCTGGGAAGCAAAGTGCTTTATATTTTGCACTTTCCTCTTTCTGTGTCTGCAGAAACACATCTGCACCACGGTGCATTTCCCTCCTCCAAACCCTCCGGCAAGTGGGAGGTGAGGGAAGGAGTTTGGAGCAAATATTAACCAGGAGTTCTTGGATTTCAGAGCAACAAACTCCTCATTTCACTCTGGTGGAATGGCTGAACTGGGCTGGGACAGCAGGAAGTCGAGAAGGATGAAAAGCAGGCAGGTTTTGGGCACCAAAACTCGAGGAAAATATCACTGATTTAAACCAGGCTGTGCAGGAGCCTCTGAGCAGGTTCAAACCCACTCAAACAGCACCTGGGAGCAACTCAAAGTTTCTTAAACTTCCAGGGAGCTGCTGATCCACAGCAGGACGGGGCTGGGCTGTGTCTGCCAGGGATCCTGCAGCCATCTGTGCCCAGGAGGTGCTCCAAGGTCCTGCAGGAAGATCCTCTCCTGTGTGCCCGTGGATTGGGAACAGAACTCTCCCCCTCCCTGCAACCCCTTGGGAATGGGTGCAGTGGCCCCAGGAAGATGGAGCTTTAATTGCTGGGTTTTGGCAAAGGCTCCAAATGAGCCCAGTGGTTTCTGTGCCTTTGCTGTGCTGCTCTGGCAGCTCATCCCTCCTGTGCTGCAGGGTTTGGAGCCCTGTGCCAAGTGCTGCAGGCTGGAGCAGGGAACAGCCTGGCATGGGACTGTCCCCACAGTGTCCTGACACCCCAGAGGGATGAGGGGTGAGTGCTGTGACCCTAAAAAGGGTTACACCCCCTAAAGTGTGAAAGACAAACTCCCACCCAACAGCTCCATCCCACGGGAGCTGGGAGGGTCCCACTGCAGCATCCTCAACCCCCAACCCCACGTGGAGAGGGTTGGATTAAACAAGGGGGCTCCTCTGCAGCCCAGATCGGGGATGGCAACACAACACAGCCCCAAATCCCAGCTCCTGGACACAGGGAAGGGGACAGGGACAACCTCCTCTCCTGACAAAGCCAGGGAAGTGCCAGTTCAGATCAGAAGAGGAGCAGCCCATCAGAGCCACCCTGCAGAGCAATTGCTGCCAGGAACAGGGACAGCTGCCCTGGCACAGGACAGCTCTTCTGGAGCAGCACAAATCCCCCCCAGGGGAGCAGTTCCACCGGTTCAATCAGGGAAATAACAGCGTGGAGACAACCCAAGGAACTGCATCCTGCTGCTGAGGGCTGAGAGGGCAGCTGGCAGCACCCAGGGGAGGGTGGGCACAGAGGGGACACCCCCCAGCCCAGCTCTCCCTGCTGAGGACCCCAAAACCCCCCAAATTCATCACAGCTCCCAGAGCAGCTTGTGGCTCTGCAACTGCCAGGGAGAACTCTCTGGCAAAGGAACACTGAGGAGAAAGCAGGCTCTGGTTTGAGCCAGGGGAGTGCCAGCTTTCCTCAGACACAGACACAGGGGGCACTTCCCAACTCACCCAACAAGAGGGATGTGCAGCTTATCTGGAGGATGTGCAGCTTATTTGGGACAAGCCCCGAGGAGGAGCAGCAGGGACTGGTTCCACGGCCCTCTCACAGTCCCACAGAGGGAAAGGGACTTGTTTGGGCTCACAAAAAAACAGAGTTTTAGTTGGTTTATCTCCCCGGGGTTTGTTTCCCTGGGGAACACGACGGGTCCAGAAACCTTGGAGTTCACAGGCCTGAGGTGCATCAACTGAACAGGCACCAGAAAATCAGGTGTTTTCTGGAATGACCCCCCCAGAGCAACAGCTAAACCAGGGCCAAGAGTTTGCCTGGCTCCAGTGAGGTTGCACCAAAAAAAAAGCCTGAGGAGCTCATGGGGGAACAATTACAACCTGATTCCTCATCATTAAGAAGGAGCTGAAGTGATTCCTGCCCAGCACAGCACTTGAGCACGTCTG